CTACTTTGTGTGTTTCTCTGTATTAAGTGTCTTGCAACAGTAGGAGTCACTGTGCTACTTTGTGTGTTTCTCTGTATTAAGTGTCTTGCAACAGTAGGAGTCACTATGCTACTTTGTGTGTTTCTCTGTATTAAGTGTCCCTTTTTTCGTTTTTTGTTAGCTTCCTCAGTTGCAGCGTGAGTTCTCTGAGTTCAACTTCCAGTGAAATCTTAGATTTTGTGCAAGGAGTAAGTATGTAAAAATCTTTTTAAGCATTTTTCATATTTAAGAACATTTTTCTAAACATCAAGTAAATTTGACCATAGTCCTTTCTCCTGAAAAAAAAAGCTTAAGAAAAAAGTGGAAAGAAAATATCAATTCCTCATCAGTTGATGTTAATACACTGGAATTGAGTGTTATTTAAGATAGATACAATAAAAAAAAATTTCTTTTACTCAAGTATTTTGGCAGCACTTATAAAATTTAATGATTTCTCAGCACTTAAATTTAGTTTTTGATAGCACTTACGAAATTTGGTATTTTTGGTAGAATTTATTTTAGTGGCATTTTTTGAATTTAGTTTTTGAAGCACTTATGAAGTTTGGTATTTTGGTAGAATTTATTTTAGTGGCATTTATCAAATTTAGTGATTTGGTAGCATTTATGAAATTTAATATTTTCCCAGTACTTAGGTGTAAGTTACATAACATTTTTTACACTTTTTGCTCAAATTATTAATTAATGTTTAAAGAAAAAAGGTTATTCTTTTCCCAGGATGAAGGCACAGTTACCGAAGAGGATATGATCAAATTCTTCATATTTGTGCTGCTTCTTTTGAACCATAAAAGAGGATCAAGAAAATTTGATATGAAATTACTCCAGTCTGACTTCAGATGTCCTGAAGAGGATGAAGCAGATAGTACAGACATAAAGTTAAGGCCTGAAATTCTAGTGCCTAAAGAGGAACCTTTGGCTTGTGGTTTAGCTCATGCAGGTTACATACGAGATGGATCTTTGTTCATGTGGGGGAAATCTACTCTGGGACGGTGAGTTTACCATGAAGGTAAATCAACTTAATTCATCTAACAGTAATTTTGTTTTTATGTAGTTCATTTACATCCAAAAGCTGCCGTGTTAAACGTCTCTCTAATTGATAATTTTTACTTAGTACTCAAGTGCTATGAAGTCTAAACAACATGTACACAACAAATGAAAAAGTATCATACTGTTTTTCAATGCCAAAGTCTATCAATAACTTCAATTCTATATTTTAAAAAAGCTTTTATTAAGGTCATTGGTTTTAAAAGTCAAGTTCCATGAACTTCATTTAAAAAAAGAAGTCTTTGCAACATCAGCTATATAACTTTTTCCATACAAGCATCCTTTTCCCTTTAATGAAAATACTTCATTAAAAATTCTGACTTTTTTTGTCTACAAAAGACTGTTAATGCATATTGACAGCTTGTGAAAGTTCATGAAGATACACAAAACATACTAGAAGTTATAGTATGGAAATTAAAAAGTTCAGTTTGGGGTCACAAACTAATACATATTGACAGCTTGTGAAAGTACATGAAGATACACAAAACATACTAGAAGTTATAGTATGGAAATTAAAAAGTTCAGTTTGGGGTCACAAACTAATACACATTGACAGCTTGTGAAAGTACATGAAGATACACAAAACATACTAGAAGTTATAGTATGGAAATCAAAAGGTTCAGTTTGGGGTCACAAACTAATACACATTGACAGCTTG